TTTTTGTGTGTTGTTCACAGTTTCTTTGTTCCCCTTAATTTTCTGTGCTGAGTCGTTTTTATTTATGTAGTTTTTTTCATCTTTTTCATTGTTGTACATTTTGTGTTTGCTGGGTCTTTATGTTTTTCTACTTTTTTATTTTGATTTGTAGGATTGTTAGATTCCTTTATGGTTACCTTAATATCTACCCCTATTTTTCTAAGTTTATGCCAGTTTTTTATTACTTTATATCGCCTTGACTTCCCCTCCATATGAAAAATCAATGTCTGCATTTTATAAGTCCCTCTTTTTTGTTTTAATGTTGTCCTTTTTTGCATATTGATATCTCTGTTTCCCTGTTTAAGCTTTGATGTATTTTCAACTTTCCTATCTTAGTCAATATTTGGTTGTTCTATCCTGTGTTCTAGTCTTGCGCTGTTATTTGGTGTTATTGATTATCTAACCACAGGAATCCTTTTAATATTTCTTGTAATTTTGGTTTGGTTTTTGCAAATTCGCTGAACTTCTGTTTATCTGGAAATGCCCTAATTTTGCCATCGTATTTGAGAGACAGTTTTGCTGGATATATAATTCTTGGCTGGCAGTTCTTTTCCTTCAAGGCTGTATATATGTCATCCCATTGCCTTCTTGCCTGCATGGTTTCTGCTGAGTAGTCCGAGCTTATTCTAATTGACTCTCCTTTGTAGATGACTTTTCTTGTAACCCTAGCCACACTTAAAATTCTCTATCTCTGGTTTTGGTAAGTTTGATTATAATATGTCTTGGTGACTTTCTTTTGGGTTCTACCTTATGTGGGGTTCAATGAGCATCTTGGATAGATATCTTCTCATCTTTCATGATATCAGGGACGTTTTCTGTCAACAAATCTTCAACAATTTTCTCTGTATTTTCTGTTATCTCCCACCCCGTTCTGGTACTCCAAGCACTCGTAGGTTATTTCTCTTGATAGAGTCCCACATGACTCTTAGAATTTCTTCATTCTTTTTAATTCTTTTATCTGATTTTTCCTCAGATAAGTTGGCATCAAGTGCTTTATCTTCAATGTCACTAATTCTAACTTCTACTGCCTCAATTCTGCTCCTATGACTTTCTGTTGAGTTGTTTAATTCTG